TGCTCTCCTGTGCAGTGCAGGAAGGGCTGCACTGTGGTTTTGACATGGAACGAGGCTGAAATGGGAAAGGCTGGGTTTGGCCCAGCTGTGGTGGCAGGCACTGGTTCCCACCTCACAGCTAAAGCCTCCCTATCCCGATCTTAGGTGAGGTTTTCAGCTCTGACTCATGCTCCTGCAGTGTCTAGCACAGAGTAAGCCACCCATCATACTGCAAGAGAAGGAACCAGGGCCTGGTGTTTCCCTGCACCCTGATGAGCAGACAAACTATGTTCAAGTGAGCAACACCCAGGTCTGAAGGGAGCAGAGACCCCTGAGCTGGCAGTGCAACAAAGGCCTATACAAAGTAAAACATCATCCCCTCCTCTGAGGACTGGCAGCCCACAGAACCCCAAGCAGCTCAAGTCCTATTCCAGTGGGAAGAGAGTGGGTGAGACAGATTTATGGTCACCAACAAGCCAATGTCACTGGAAGCAGAATCTCCTAGCACTGAGCACCTTTAAGAGACAGACCACCAGCAACCTCCTTCAGACCACAGAGGTCAGCTCAGGAGCTGCAGAAACTCTGCAGCCGTTCCCAGTTCTGCCTGATGGTTGCTTCATCTGGTCTCAGTCTGTTGCTACCCCTGTGAAGTGTCTGCTTGAAAGAGTCCCATTTGAGGACCTCCACAAGCAGCCACGGAGATTTAGTACACCTCCTCTTAGCTTTAGGGGTAGAAAACTTTATTTTCTAATCAGTCTTTCTCTGTAGAGAGAAGTATTAAAAGTTTCAGCTGGATAAGTGTGTTAGTGCCGACAAACTCATCCAAAGATTAACAGCAGAAAGCTGGAGAATTACAGGTGGCTACAGGCACAGACTGGTTGCCATTTGGCTTTCCTTTTCTATGAGTAACAGCAAGAAAATGAGTCAGACTCTATAGCTGAGTCACAGTGAGTGAATATAAACTTGCTCTTCAGACCAGGAGAACCTAGGCAGGTGGAGGAAGAGCTCTGTATATTCTTCTGCCCCTGACAAACACAGCATGGTGTGTCCATGGAGCTGTGCCAAGTCCTGCTTCAGGGCCCAGGATCTGCAAGCCTGTCCCAAAGGAAGACCCCGTGGTGGAAACATATGATAAACATATGACAGCATCTGCCTTCTGTTTCCTGTGCTGTGTAGAGATTATCTCTCCCCACAGATAACTGTCCTTCTCAAAGGGAAAGCTGGGGTTGTGCTTTTAAAACGCTGGAGACCAGCGACAACTGGAATCAACTCATTCTATACCTGTTCTCAGACCACGTGCCTCCCCACATTTCAGCACCATCTGCTCGACACTCAAGTGGTGTGATTACACATCTGCCTGGGGTTGTTTGTTCTCCCACCCCTCCTGAGCACTGAAGGCAGAGGCGGGACAGGCAAAGTGCTTTCTGCATTCACGTGTGCTCCCTCTGCACACAGAGCAGAGCTGACGCCCAGCTGAGCTCCCCCACCTCCTCTCCACTGATGTCATTATTTTCCCTGTTGCTTGTTGTGCCCAGCAGTGAGGAAGCCCCTGGAATGCAGCAGCCTGTGTTGGAGCTGTTCCTGCACTGATCACCAGCAACTCTAGCAGCAGACTTTAAAGGGAAGCCTGGTGGGCTGCAATAAAACAAAAGTCATCAGGCTGTGATTCGACATCAGCAGAACTCCTTACAGAGCACATGACTCCGTCTGCTGTCCCAGCCCCCTCTCCTCTCAAATTCCAAGACCATAAAATTACTCATTAGGCTTGGAACAAAATGCTCTTGGTGCACTTGCATGTGGCTGGAGGCAGAGACAGATGTTTTGGGCTCTGGAAGAAAATTGCTGAGAGAGAGAAATGAAACACTTCCAAAGCTGCACTGCTGCCTCCTAACAGTGTGCTTGCCTGCTCCTATTGCACTCCATGGTTTTCCATAGGGTCAGAGAAGAAAGGAGTGATGGCATCACAGCTGAGCAACCCTTTGCTTCCACTTTGCTTTTATTAAATCCTCAAACACAATTTTCTGTTTTGCTTCAAGTTTTGCATCAAGTCCTGTGGTGTGGCATAAGAGCAGCCCGGGGCTGTGCCTCTGGCAGTAGTTTCAGCACTTTGGGTTTATGGTTATAAGATCCTGCATTTCAGCTGCACTTTTGTCCTGTAAAGAGCAGGGAAGAGACTGCCTTTAGGAGCCAGACGGTCCTCAGAGGCCCAGGAAGCAGAGGATCCTCCCTCTTTTTACACATGCAGGGAAGTGAGAATAAAAACATTGCCTGCAGGCATGTCAGCGAGGAGATTAGGATTCAGTGTCTGATTATTGCTTGGTTTATACAAGGCAGCCATTCCCACCTCCCATAACCAAACACTTGCTCAGTTATCCATCAGATCTGAACCAGGGAGGGCCAGGACCCCAGCTCCATCACACCACTTCTCTTCTTAAATTCAAGAAAGAATATTTTGCCCTTTAGATCTTTCCTTGATATGTTTACTTTTGGTCACACAGTAGATTTTTAAGAGCATACTGGGGGTGTATTCCCAGCTTTGAAAGACCAGCCTCCATGATTCCAATAGAGGAAGTAGTTCAAAACACTGAATGACCACTGTGAACTGATCATCACCATGAGACAGAGGTTGTCACACCAGTAATCTCCCAACCATTGGTCAAACCTGGGACTCAGGCATTAAGAAGGTTTGAACACAATGGGCTAATATTGACCTCCTTCAGCAAAGCATCACAGAAATAACAAATTTCCCCCCCTTACAGTGTTTTCTAAGATATCATTCAGGCACAAATGGTACTGGGCAGGTATTTTTTTGCTTCTCATGTATTCCTGCAGGATAGATGTGAGCCCAGCTCTTCGCAGCTGGAAGGATACACCAAGTTGGAAGATATAGTGTCAGTAAGCTCTGTGTGGAGGTCAGGGATCAACAGGAGTGACCTGATCGCCAGGAACAACCCCGGTCACGGCGCTAATTATGTGTAAGCCTCACTTTCAAAGCTACATAGAAGCTTAAGCCCATTTATCTTTTCAAGGGATTTAAAGGCCTATCGGCTTTGGGAAGCGAGAGTGACTGGAGAGGGAAGTGCAAAATCACCAGCTGAAACCTCCAGTTACATGCACTGAATTATCTGTGTCAACACCATGCAGCAGAGTCTCCCAGGGCAAGGCTCACTCACCAACCCTCTCTGACAACTCTGACTTCCTTCAGACTTTTTCTTGCAAACAAACAAACAAACCCTTCAATTTCTCCAATGTGATTTCCTCCCAATCCCATAATACTGGATTACTCCTAAGCCTAAAGCAGAGAACATCACTTTGTGATTCAGGCTGCTTTCTGAGCTAGGAGCAACAGCTCTGCTGAAATACCTCATTCTGTGATGTCTGAAACACGACACAGGATGAGCAGAGTCTGGGAAGACAGGAAAAATGGAATTATAGGTTCGTGAAATGGACACTGACAAAAACCTGAAGTGTTGAGCTCACTCAGATGCAGTCTGTGTTTAATCCAGTCAGCAGACAGTCTCTGTTTAGCTAAATATTTGACTTCAAAATTGGGCCTGAATTATTACTGGCAAAGCTTCCAAGCTCCACAGGTCCCTCTAACAAGCTGTTCCTCTGTGGAAGCCTTGCAAGGAAATGAATGCAGCCTTTGAGGAAAATGCTGGATGGCTTCTCAAGCTTCCAGAGTGGGTTTGTGGAGTCCCATTAGGTATCCAGGCCTTCTGAAAGCTCCATATGTTGACAGTTAGAAGCTACAGGGCTGATGTTTGTGTGCATTGCTGGTATGTTCCCAGAGGAGTTCTGGCTCCACAGCATGTCACAGGAACAGAGTTATCAAAGAAAGCACCAAAAATAACCTAGTCTACAGAACAACTAAAAGCCTAGCACAGACAAAAATAAATAAACTGGAGCCACACATGAAGCCATGTAGCCAGAGCTGTAACGTGTATTCCATTCTAATGGGACATATCTGAAAGCACAGTTTGCAAGCCAGAACACAGAACTGGTATGGTTAGTCCCTTTCATAGCCACAGCAGGGACATTAAGCAGCACAAACATACAATTCCTCATGGCATCAATGGCAGCTGTGTACCACAGAGCTCAAAGATCTGGTTTAGGTGCTGCCAGGCAGAGCCCATGGTTGCTACCTCAGCACGCTGGGCTGTTTGACACCCTGTCATGTAAAAACAGACCATCAGCAGTGAAAGAGGAACGTGGTTATCCCCTCTCCCATGCAAAATTCAATGCCCTGGCTGTGGTAGCATATGTCAGAAAAGACAATCCTCCAGGGATGGAGGCTGCTCCCCAGCCAGGTTCCCCTGCTGTGGGCAGCTCCAGGAAAGCAGAGGCTTGGCTTCCCAAACTACAGGCAGCTGCAGGCAGGAGGAGTCACCTTCCAGTTTTGCTTCCAAAGGAAGATTATAAATTAAAGTCCAATTTGTTAAACCTTTAGGTAAGCAACTGTATCTGCATAAACACATACTGGTTTGTGGGCTGCATTACATGGCTAACTGCAAATCTGACCGACTTTAAAACACGGTGTATACACCTAAACCAGAGAGCTAACAGAGGCACATTTTAAAATGACATGGATTTAAACAGCCTAGCTGATGATTTTTGAATGTGATTGAAAATAATGATTATCCTAAACCAGTACATAAAAATTGTGCATGCAAGGTTAGAGCACAGAATGCTCTGTTGGAGAGCTTCACTTCTAAGTGACAAAGAGCACGTAGCTGGCTCACCTAAAATTATTCTTCAAGTGAAAGAAAGTCAAAGACTTTAACACCATTCTGAAGATGGGGTCAATGTCTGGAATATATTGTAAAAAGAGATCAAATTACCACCTCCCCCTATCATTTGTTATGCTACAACCTTAGTGGAAAAATCCAGAAGCTCTTTTAGGTCTGTTAGCTAATAAATGGATCGCCAGGCAAGTGTTCAGTGTCGTTAATAAATTGTCACAGCATTCTGTACTCGGTATCAGCAGAAAGGCTTGGTCCCTTCCACCCCTGAACACATACCTCTTCAGGAAGGACAGAAGGAACTGCCTACATAGCTTTTTTCTGCCTGCTGGAAACACCCAAGCTCACAAACAGATGTGAACTTTCCGTACATCTGCACTACTTCTCTCCCAAGGTCAGCATTAAGCAGCAGAAGAGCTGTGGATGATCAGTCCTGGCTGACTCAGGCTCTGGAAGACAATGACAATGACATTAACATTGGCAGGTTAAATCCAGACAGCTTTCCATCCAAGGATGCCTCACAGCATAACAAAAGACGAGCAAGAGCCGGAGGTTCCACCTAAGGCTGGGATGCCTGGTGCTTCCATAGTCCGTACAAGCAGGGATTATTCTTATTCCCTGCCCTATTCAGGGCTGTATCCCCAGCCCCCAGGCACTAGGATACCCAGTGGGAAGGGCTCAGCCCTTCTCAGCCATTCCTGCTGGCACCGTTCCAGTTTGTCTGAAGACACTTAAATATTCATCGAGAAAGAGCAAGGCTCCGTCTCGCCGGGTGCACAGACTGCTCTCCAGGGAGACAGGACACCTGCCTTCTCCACTCCCTGATCCATCAAATCATTAATTATTTAAAATAGCAGGAAAGAGCAAGGAAAACTCTCCGCACCAGACATGCTCACAGCCTGCTGTTTACGGTGCTCTCTGGGGTCTCGTGTGGCCCAGGGTTTGTATCTCCCCTCTGGCAGAAGCAAGGATCAAGCCCAGCTTTCCCCCTTCCTTGGGGAGGATGCCCTACCCGCTGAGCTATTGTACAAAAGAAGGGCTTCCCCTTTATCTAGACAGACCTTATGTTCGCTTTTCCTACCAGAGAGAGGGTCTTTTTTTTTTTTTTTAATTCAATTTGAATAAAAGGCAAACAAAACACAAATCCAAAGCTCTGAGAGCTAGCCATAAACCCCCACACATTCTGTGTTTGCTCAAGAGCTTAGGTTCCACCTCTCCATTTCACAATCAGGCAGGCTCGTGGTCCCACTGCATCAGTGAAGCGCTTTGGCTACCGAGACCCTCAGTGCTGGGCTTTAGTGAGTCGGAAAACACCATCTCCCTACCCTGCAGACAGCTCTGGTGTAACTGTGCCCACAGAGGGACGTGTCTGGAGCAGCAGAGGATCTCTGCATCTCTGCATCCCTCCAGGACATTGTTTGCCTCCCCACATCTCCCACTGCACCAAATGCCCCGTGCTCTCCCGCAGGAGCATCACAGACCCTCATAAAGGTCCCCGGGACAGAGGTGTCCCCCCAAACTGGCCTTAGCCCAGGGAACAGCCCCATCTGCACCCTGGAGTTCACTGCTCGAGCAGCAAATCGTGGCAGGTGAACAGCACTGGCACCCTCATGTGGTGACCGGGATCAGCATGTGCTCCCAGCCAAAATCAGCGGTACAGAGAGGAGGGAGGGCTGCAAGAGACTCCTCCAAGGAGTTCTGACAAGGACCAGGTCTGTGGGCCAGCATGGTACAGGAAGGGAATACAAACCTGATGTCACCTCTCCTATCCTGAGACCACCAGCAAAGAACCATAGACCGGTTTGGGTTGGAAAGGACTTTAAAGCTCATCTTGTTCCACCTCACTGCCATGGGCAGGGACCCCTTCCACTAGAGGAGATTGCTCCAAAACCCGACATGGCCTTGGACAATACCAGGGACCAGGGCCCAGCCCACAGCTTCTCTGGGGCAACCTGTGCCAGTCCTCCCCACCCTCACAGGGAAGAATCCCTTCCCAATATCTCATGCTAATGCTGCTCTCTGTCCAAGTTATGAAGCCAATTCCCTCTTGTCCCAATCACTCCACGTCTGTGTCAAGTCTCTCTCCAGCTCTGTTGAGCCTCTTTAGGTCAGTGGAAGCCGTCTGACAATAATGTCTCGCCTACACGCCTTACTCCTACTCCAGAGACTGAACAATGACCAATCTCTTCAGACCTGTACTCCATAGCCAGAGGTGCTCCAGACCTTGGAACATCTCCTGTGCCTCCCTGACTTCACTCCATCAGTCCACTCCTTCTTTATGTTGCGGAGCTCCAGAGCCACCCATTTGCAGTATTCCAGGGGGGATTGAGTCGTGGGGGACCCACAGAAACAGGTTCTGCATTCTCCCCCCAGCCTCAGCTCAACCTCGGCTTCCTTCCTCATCATATACCAAAATGGAGAAGAAAATAAGAATACAAAAACACTCACAGATACTAAAATGAGAGAATTCACTAAAACTCTGCAGAAAACCCTTTTCGCCCACCTCCTGCACTCGCCTGTCGGACCTGTGGTAATGAGAGCACCGCATCCCTGAGAACCACAAATTCTGACCCCTGCATTTTGGCGGAAAAAAAGCCAAACAATGTCACCCTTATTTCTCACAGAACAGAAATCCCTCTCCTCCTAAATTGCTTCGCGAAAGAGAGTTAGATTAATTTTAAATTAAACCACCCACCACCTCCAAGCCGCAGCGCCCACCAGAGCCGCGCTGAGGTGAGGGGCGGCACCCGGCCGGAATGGCGGCAGCTCCACGTACCCCCTCAAATCACGCCAAAACGGCCCGAGAAAACCGCGTTTGTCGGGAGCAGAGCTTGTTTTATGATATTTTGCTTTAAAGAGAAGCTACAGAGGCGCTCTGCGGCGGCGGGGCGGCCCGTGAGGAGGCGGGGACGCCAGCCTGCCAGCCCGCCCGGAGCGCGGCGGGACGCGCCTGTCAGCCCGCCCTGCCAGGCGGCCGCGGCGGCGGCGCTGATGTCGCCGACATGGGCGACGACTTGGCCGTCCGAAGCGACACCCAGTGAGTGGAGGCCAGAGGCGGAGGGCAGCCGAGCCCGTGGCGGCGGATTCGTGTAGCGGGGCCGGGCGGGCGCCGGGGGGAGTCAGGGACAGAGCGGCGATGCTCCAAGGAATAACCAGATGCATGAAAATGCGTTCAGAAACAAAGCAGGTGTATAAACCTACGCGTGAATTAAGAGTTGTTTTGCCTCAAAGCATCCTGTTCCCCTGAGATGCTGCATATAACTCCAGTACCCCCCACTTGGGGGTTTTGGCCCCCTTTATCCCCTGGTCCCCATCCTGGGTTGTCTTTGTGTCCTGCAGCTCCAGCTAGAGCCCTGTGGATGGTTTTATCACATTTCTTTACATGTCTTTCATCTCCTTTGCTGCTTTTTTACATCTCTTGCATAATAAATTGCCCACGAGTTGGTGCATTGGACTGAGGGTAAATAATTTAAAATGTGTTCCACGCTGTTTGGGATAACTGAATTCATATTCAGTAACACAAATTACAACACACTCTGGAATCTGAGCTTGAAAGAGAAGTAAAACTGCTAAATATCCACCAAAATGCTGCTCTTGGATGGGTTTATGCCATGATGAGGAGTGCATTTACATTTACAGAGCCAGCAGAGTCGTGTGGATCCTAAACAGGAAACTCAGACCATCAACTGGTTTTCCATGTGTTGCTGAAAATAGATAAATTGTGGCTTCTACAGCCTTGGTGATGCCGGGTTTGTTACTGCATCTTTACAGGTAGAGGAGAGAATAAATAAGGCAAAGGGGTGCTTTGGCATCTCTTGGCAATGATGCTTTGTGTGACCATAAAATGTAACAACACATTTCTGTCACTTGGAGAGCAGAGGCAGCAGCATTTTCTTAGCTGAAACATAGAATTTACTCCACTGAAAGAGTAGCATTTACAAGGAGGTGTGTGTGTGTTGCCCTTGGTGTTGATAATTAACAAAAACTCCACGTGTTTTTCATAAGTTCTCCTGATATTTCCTCTCAAATCAAGGGTCCATGTAGTGTGGAAATGCAATCCTGTTACCATCCTTGACAAGATGATAACAGAGTCTTAATATACAGTACAGGAAATCCTGTTTCTGCAGAAATCAGTGTCCAAATCCTACTGCCTTAATTGTAGCAGCAGGTTCAACATTGTGGAATGCACACTCTCAGATGATCGTGTCTGGTGTTAAGTGGATAAACACACTATTGAATGATCCTGTTGTATTATTTGTGGTTTTCTTGAGCTAAAGTTTTTTGTTTGAAGGTAAGGGGAATCGAAATTGGAGGACGAGATTATACCTCTGTTGCTCTAAGAGTCCACAGTAGGGTTGCCTTTCTTCTGTGTCCTCTGAACAGAAAAATGGGGTAGTGCTATTTAGGCAGCAAATCTCCTGTTTATCTCCTCAGTGTGGTGGAATGGGAACAATATGTTTTGACACCTCTTGTTTGGCATGTGGTTAGTGTCTAGTTGATAAGTTGAAACCAACTGAAGTTGCATTGAGCCCCTGAAGTAGCATTGAGATGCTCAAACTGCAGCCTGAGTTCTGCAGCAGCATAGGAGAAAGCAAAGCCTCTGGGCCAGCTCTCCAGTGGAATATTATAGGCTGAGGATCTGAGTCAAGCACTTCTTGAAAGAATTTCCCAAAAGCAGTAGGGCAGAGACCGAGTCCAAAAAAGACTGACACCAGCCGTGCCAAAAACTTTCAGAGCCTCCCTGTGGGGCTGTGGCAGCCCCAGAGTCACAGCTTTACTCTTGTTTCTTGGCAGGAAGGTTTGTTCGATCAAGGAGAAGATTGCTGGGGCAAGGCCCAGCTTGGAGAGTAAACACTCTTAAATTGTGCCTAACTGTGCAGGACAAATACTGCCAGTCATGGTAAATTATATGCAGAACTGCCACGGTTTATTAAGAGATGCAACACTAATCACAGGCCAGGCTGGCAGTTCTGTGCTGCTTGGATGGCTCAGGTTGCCTGGAGGGGGATGGCAGGACCATGTGCAAAGGCCTCCTTGTTGAGTGGTGGGATGTAGGTGGAAGGATGGAGGAAAGGGTGATGTGTCAGAGCCTTTACACAGGCTCTGGGCCTTAGAGGTGCCCAGAGGACATGGCCCAGAGGACATGGACTTCATAGACCAAAAGATTTTGTAGCTGGAGCAAATCCATGAAGAGAAAGAGACTGAATTAGAAGAGAAGTGAGTAGGATTGGAAGAGCACTGATGTGGCACAGGGATACTCATGGAAGGAGAGATGGTGGGAGAGGACAAATCCAGCAAACATGCCAACATCTGCAGGACTGGGATTCTTGCTGGAAGAATCTTTCCACAGTCACCCTTCCCTGAAGCCACAGGGGCCAGTGAGATGAAGAGGAGGTTTGTTGGGGCATGCTGCCCTGTGCTCCTTGCCAGCACTGTTTTAATGC